CAAAGAAAAATATTCTAATATGTAGAGGGGGGGTCATAATTAAATTTCTGCTCTTTTAAGGGGGGGCTTTCAATTTTAAAAATTTAGGAAAGAAAAAATTCCCCTCCCCCCCCTTCCATAAATAATGACCGGTCCCTAAATTCTTTCAATTTCATTTGTTATGTTATGCCGATATGTTTCTTAGAACAGATGCAAAAGATTATAATAGTAAAAATTAAATTATCCATTTTTCTCACCTCACCGCCTTTGCGGCTGATTGCCAAGAAACTTAACTAAATATACATGAAAAACCCCAAGAAAACTCCCAAAACTATTGAAATAACATATTGTTAGAATTTGAATGTCCTAGCACTAAGCTGAACGCAAAGATGCGTAAAATACTAAAATAATGCAGGGTGTCCCAGAAAACCAAAAACTATTGAAATAACATATTGTTAGAATTTGAATGCCTCAGCACACTACTAAACGCACAAGTGCATAAAGCTTGACAAAAGTAAATTTTATGCATAAAATCGCATTCGCAGAGCAGAAAATCGTGCGCTTTCCAAGAGCAGAAAATCGTGCGCTTTACAAAGATATTTTAATTTCTTAATAAGTCAATATTTATAATTTTGCACATCTTTGCGTTCAGCTTAGTGCTAGGGCATTCAAATTCTAACAATACGTTATTTCAATAGTTTTGGGAGTTTTTGGGTACCTGTAACCTGTACTGACAGGGTGCATATATTATAAATATTGACTTATTAAGAAATTAAAATATCTTTGTAAGGCACACGATTTTCTGCTCTTGTGAATTTAAAGCAGCTTCTTAAACAGTTTCTTTATGCATAAAATTTACTTATATCAAGCTTTTATGCACTTGTGGATTCAGCAGAGTGCTGAGGCATTCAAATTCTAACAATACGTTATTTCAATACTTTTGGTTTTGGGGGGAATATGTTATATTGTTACTGTGAGAATATGTTAATAAATGGACTGTGCACATCAACCACATTTGCTTTATTAAGGTAAACGTTTGTTCCCACTATCGAGGCTATACTCAAACGCGTCCAACCACAAGATCATCGGAAAGTATATTGCAGTTTGGTCCGACCAGATCTCGACTAAACTGTATGAACAATTAGTGTATAATGGATAGCTTTCCTTAGCGACATGAAAAACATCTAATTATTGCAACGGAGAGATGTTGTTTCCCTTAGCTTAGTTGTAAATTCCGTAACAATACGTTATTCAATAGTTTTGCTTTTTGGGGGGACACCCTGTATATTTTTTTTTAATTAATCATATGTTTGAAAATTGCTTTTGTGCATTGAACTGAGAAGGAATGTTAAATCATGTGCTATTATTATGCAGATCAGTGCTTCTTGGATATCAACCCTAAAGGCCCAAATCTACGCCGAAGTTAATTCAAGTTATTTTTTGCTCTATATATTTGCATGTTGGCCGTGTAGCATTATACTCAACAGTCTTTGTCTTCAGCTTGACATAAAATGAGCTCGTATACGCGTAAAAAAGTGCTTTGTTAAAGGTTTACGTTTTATATAGTAATATGCTGTTCAATTAATTACACAGAATATGGTGAAGTGGTTGAAGATATGCTTTGTGTGTTTCTTCTCCCGATTGATTCAATACCTATATTCGTTTGATCAGGGATCCAGGCTTGTTTAGCAAGGATATAAATCTGGTGTAGCGATATACGAACACGAGTAGTAATATAGGTACCGTTCGACCCGGATTTTTGGGGCGGCGTGGGGCGGCGCGGCGTGGGGCGGCGCATCATTAGCATACGTCATAATTACATGCAATGACGTCACGCGGGTAGGATCAGGCAAGCAATGACGTCACGCGGGCAGGTTTAAACAAGATCGGGCAAAATTTGCTGACTACGCACTTTTTAGCGTCCCTCCACGTTTATGATACAGCTCTAGCATTTTGCTGTGATTGTCAAGTGATTCCTTTAATTTAGCTCCTAGAGGAGTAAAAAATCTGATACTATATGAAATAGCATTAGTGTTATATATCTAAAACTTATATATTCGGGGTATACAGCTATATGTTTTGTTGTTAGTAATATATAAATATTATCAAGCGTCAAAACGCTGAGAAATAGCATGCGGTAAGAGTTATGTATCTACAATTAAGCTAATATTTAAATCCCGGTCTGCCATATGAGGTCTATATACGAGAGAATATGTTGCTGTTTAGAGTTATATAAACACATGGAAATTAGAGGTTATGATATATAATTGTCAAGGGATTTCTATATTTTAGTTGTAGTTTTTTAAAGTACTAAAACTCGGATAAGGTTAATAAATTTAAGCTATATTAAAGCACACGGGTTGCTATGTGTTGTTAGGGTGAAACTAATTAAAGGATTAACTTTTATCAGAGATTTACATTTTTCTACTGTGTGGATAAATACGTGTAGATTAGGATATTCATTGCGCGGGCGTCGCGGGTTATCCGTGCGGGAAGAGAGAAAGCGATTTAGACAAGACAGGAGCGCTTTGCAGCCAAAAGTTGAAAGACTTTGTATGGAATCCTGTAATGGTTGTCAAGTCGGTCATCCTAGTCAAAGACAACATGACTGCCGCATGATGAACGAAAACGAACGAGGGCAAATAAGGAATCTATTCGTCACAAAAATCATATTTTAAACATATTTTAGACATATTTTAAACTAAACAGTTCCTAATTCCGAGTTGTCAACGTCGTTGTTAAGGTCAATATTTACATGTTGTTCAACGTTATTTTAGCAAATATTCTACATACATATATACTGTTAAGATGATCATAAGTAAGCTTATCAAGAATATAAGTTAGAATTGGAACAGTTGTAAGATATTTTGCAATAAAAACATGTAATCGTTATATACGTTGTTATTTGTTGCTAAGTCATTAGCGACGCTTGCGTGCATGCATATATTAACGTACAACATATTTGTACACTAATCAGGCGGGCGGATCGCGCGGGCGGAAAGAGCGGGCTTTGCCGGCAAAAATTTACACAATATTTCAGTTTTTAAATTTATTTCTTCAAAACGTTTTACAAAATTTAGTACGGTCTACTTCTAAGAGCATAACGTCTAGGAGTTTTTGTTATTTTTAAAGAGTTTTCATATTCTTGTCTATCTTCTGGGGATAACCTTGCAACATCTTCATTCTTCATTGGAATATATTTCGGCCTCTCGCGAAGTAATCTTTGTTCGTAACCTTCTCGTTGTTCAGCGGTCATCATTGCCAAATCTTGGGGCCTCCAATCTGTAGAGTCTACCCAATTGTGAAAAAAGTTGCGCTTGAGTTTTGGCCGTTCCTCTTCGGTTGGTGGTGGTGTAAGGAAATTAGGTTTAGGTGTAGCAGGCACTGGTGGTGCTATCTCGACTGATTCATTGGGTGGTGGTATTTCTGTAGGCACGAATGGAGTTGTCTGAACAGGAGCTTGAGTCGGAATATCCATCTTATTTTTGAATGTCAAAAACCGATTTAGTTGATCAGAGTATAATTTGCTTTTTTCCACTGCGCTAAGCTGTGGTGCATCCATGATTTCTTTCATTCTCTGTTCGGCATCATACATTGCGTTTGCAAGTGGTGGTTGACGATACGACTGTTTTTGTAAAAACTTTGCAATCTCGCCGGGAAGTACGTTTGTCTTGATTCGATCTTGGTCACTCGTTGTCGGCTTTAAATCCAACATCAAATATCCGTGAGGCCGGCTCGTAGCATCTTCATAACTTTGCCGGGATTTATTTGCCTTGCAAGTATAGAAATTTGTTGTTTATCTCTTGGTGACTTGAACAATACGATATAATGCGCGTTTAGACTAATATTTCTCATTTCTTTGCCCTGATGAAATATATTTTGGACAATATAGATGACAGACAAATTTCGATGATGACTTCTTTTCGTAAAAAGATCGGAAATACGTTTATCTTTGCCAGATTGAGCCATAAGATCATCCAATACGATCAAATTCCGTTGCGATACGTCCAAGTAATCCGCATTGTCGATATCGTCGGGGATGCCTTCATTAAACTCGATTCCAGGCATTATCCTCATCATATCAAAATAGGACGGTTGCCATTGACCATAACCCCAAATGATACGTTGAGGAGTAGGACTTATAGTCGTTTGAGCATTCTCCAAGAGAGATTTCACCCATACGGTTTTGCCGCTTTGGGTACATCCTGCAACGATGCATGTAAAGGGATGCTGCATGACTGTAACCCCATTCACCGTGAGAGTTTGCTGCCCAAGATTACGAGATCCATATGCATGGACAACCTTCTTGTGGCGAAGGAGATTACTCGCATTTGCAAACGTTTTACCGCAGATGTCGCATTCATAAGACATGTTTACTTCTCAAGAGTCAGTGTAAAATGATTTAAAGCAAGAGTGAAGAGGTGTATTTATCCCGTTGGTTATTGTCGCGTCTACAAAAATTATTGTAAAGACTATGAAAGACTATAGTCCTGACTATGAAAGACTATAGTCCTGACTATATAAAAGACTATAGTCCTCACTATGAAAGACTATGAAAGACTATAGTCCTGACTATGAAAGACTATAGTCCTGACTATGAAAGACTATAGTCCTGACTATGAAAGACTATAGTCCTGACTATGAAAGACTATAGTCCTG